CCTCTGATGAGGGGGACAGTAAGCGTGAATGGCACCAAGCAAGCTATTGCCAGACACACAAGAAGAAAGCTTTGCAGATGTGAGAGCATCTGGCATCAGAAAGAATGCCATCGGCGCAATCTTCCTCAAAAACTCAAATGTGTGGGTGTGTGAATTTGCAGCATGCAACCTGCACAGCCAAGCCAGTCCCTGCCTCGCCCACCCCGCTGCACATGCACAGGGGTTTCAGCAGGATTCGCCACCCTTTGTTTCCTCCTGTACGCAAACACAGAAGTTTATGGTTGCTAATCTGAGGGGTGAGGAGTGGGTACTACCAGCTGGAATGTTGCCACTGGCAGGGGCAGACAGGAAAATAGGAAGGCTCTTAATGTCCTCCCAAAGAAAACCTTTGATGGACAAAAGAGTGGTTGTATTTTTACCCTCTCTCTTCATGCTGCCAGGCGTCTTTAAATAGATTCTCTAGCCTAGGGACTTGTATGGAATAATTCATATTAAAACCCAAGAAGTGGCAGAGGAGGGGAGTTGGTTCTTTCTTCTCTTTCTTTTCTTTCCTTTCTTTTTTTCCCCCTTCTTGTCAAGCTAACAGGAAAAGACTCATTTTAATTCAGCTGTGTTCAATTTTTCCTTTTGGGTCTTTTAATGAACTTTAGCTAATTCGGAAAAGACTACCAAAGCCCCCAGGAAAAGAAAAGGACTAGGGACCTGTACTGCAGACTGCTCCGTAATACGTTTTGGTCCCGAGGACATGTGCAGCATCTTTTAAGGATGCTGCACACAGGGGGTGACATGAAGCTCTTAAATGGGAATGTCTAATTGAGAAGTCCAGCTCCTTCCATTTGCAACTCATAAACCGATCTGTTGTTCTGCTGTTAAAAGAAAGAAGAAAAAGAAAAAATCCTCTCCATCTCCCCAGCCCCATGCTGGGTTCGGTTCAACCCAGGATCCATTTCTCCCCTCTCCCTTTCACAAAACGGGTTTCATAGAGACATTTGGGCCCGCGCTAGCCAAATTAAAAGTCCCGTCTGTCCTTCTTTTTCCTTGGGAAGGGAAGGAGGTGGGAAGGACAGAGAAAGGGGGCAGGGCGGGGCCCAAGGGCCCAGGGAGCTTGGTTTCAAGTCACTTGTCTCTCTCCCTGAAACAGAGAATAACCACATTTCTCTTAATGTAGGCCGAAGTGCATCCAGGCGTTCCCATAGCACTCCCACCCCCGGCCCTTTGCCGGAGATGTGCGGCGGGTCACTGTGATGGTATGTTTGTCCCTGCCAACCCGGTTCACTCCAGCCCTACTCCCAGCAGCCTAAAGGGCAGCCCGAGCCATGAGGCTGCTCCTCTCTGCGAGTGGGTTCAGGCTCGGGGCGCTCCAAAAAGACCCCCGATCCCATCAGCCCGGCAGAGCTGCTGCCAAGAATGACATCCTGGGAATACTATGGAGATGGGGAGACCTCATGCGCTGTTGTCCCCAGATGGAACAGGACCCAGGCTGTCTGGAAAACAGGCAGAGCAAAGAGCGAGCTCACAATGGAAGGAGCTCAGGCGAGGGGAAAAGGGGGCGGGGTGGGAGTGGTGGAGAGCAAGAGCAAAGAAAAGCCACATGCCACCCAGGGAGCTTCCAGGGAGGGCTGGGGGAGGTGGTGGAGGAAGGACTTGCAGGAAACAAGTACCCAGACATGGCACTGCCAGTCTAGCTGGATTCTTTTCTGAATTAGATTATGCGAAAGAAAGAGGGGAAATATATAGCCTGCCAGCTGTTCAAAGGCTTACAACCTTGCTTTTATTGTCCGGGTAAGTTGGTGAGGTGGGGCATCAGAGGAATTCCAAACATACCATCCCAGAGAAATTTTAATATGTTCCACAGTGTCATACACGAAGAGGAAATGACAGCTGATCACAGCCAGGGCAGAGGCCACAGCAATCTGGGCCTCGGAGCTCACCCACCCTCCCATGGCCCAGCTTCCCTCCTTCTGCTTTAGCCCTTCTCCGCTCTGCCACCTGCCGTCCCATCCCTCCTGCTTCCACTGGCTCAGGCAGGGGGCCCCGGGCAAAGTCGCCTTAGCTGACTGTCATGGGAGGAGGTGAGGATGGCCTGGAAGGCCGCTGGCCAAGAAGCTGAGGGCTGGCTAGGGTGAGTCAGGCCCCCCCAGGGAGTCAGAGGCATTTTAATCCAACCACAGGGGATTATCTGCTGATAAGGACCAAATCAAGGACTCTGGTGATGCTGTCTTCAGGGCATTTCCCCCCAGTAACCTATCCGAGGCAGAAAACACGAGATCGGATTATTTGAAAGCGACACTGTTAGTGGCTCTGACGGAGACCTGGGTTTGGGGAACAACTTCTGGCAACTCGATCCCAGGGGCCTCTTGAATTTAGGCCAGGCCCAGAGGTCACTGGTTTCGATCCTGGGGGTGGGACAAGTAAGTGGTGGGAGATAGTGACTGCATCTTCCTCCACGCATGTTTCTAATTCAATGATTCATCAAGTGGCCCTGATGTCAGTCGCTGAGTAGGTGACTCACAGCCATCCCCGATACAGACAGCACGTGGTCCTTTCCAAAGGGGGCTCAAGGGAGCAGAGGAAGGATAAACTGCCCCTTTTCTAGGCTTCTCCTACCCAGGAAGGAAAGATCCAGGCTCTGCTAGCTGTGAGTGACGTGTCCCCAGGATCCGGTGATAAAGGCCTGAGGGGAACCCCTTTATCATAAATGGAAAGAAAACCCACCGATAAGCGACAATCATTTCCAGTAAATCTGGGTACCAGCAGATATTTGAAATAGTTCTTTCTAACAAGGAACTCATTGACCAGTTTACCCACTGGCCAAGTCCATTTCTGTTCCCAAATCTAACTGGAGATGGCATACAGACTGAGAATTAGGGCGCAGGACAATGTCTCATTCACCTTTGCATCCATCAGGACTAGCATAAGTTATTGAAAGAATGATGGCATGAATAATTAACCAATAAGAGTAAGAGTGCTTGAATTGTGAGTTCTGAAAATACAGTAAAAATTGCCAGCCACCACTGGTGGCTATAATTCCGAGAAACTCGCCACATTTTTCAAGGGCCGAGGAAAATAAATGAGTTGGAAATTGTTAAACGTATTGAAAAATGATTTATTTTCCCCTTGACAGTGTCATTGGAACATGAATTAAGATTGAAAACTCCACAGGCGTGTTTCCATCTGTGGGTGTCAGCTGCTTGGTACACGGTCATCAGGAAGGCTTCAGCCAGCACTCCTTTTACCTGAACTAAATGTATGTTAAAGTAAATGATGCAAAACATTGCATTTTGTGCTCAGACCCTCTCATATAATGGTCTGAATCATAGTTTAAGAAAACCGTTTTGGTTCGGCTAAATGCTTTGCTAACAGCAGTAGTTTAAAATTGTATAGCAATAGAATCCATGCTATCTTTTCAGGCTTTCTCAAATAAATAATGACTATCCCAAGGTTGTAAGTTACCTCATTCAAAAGCCAGATTCTCATTCAACAATGCTTGTTAGGTTAGTTATTAGAGAAAATCAGAGGAGTTCCCCCATAAACCAAGTTCCCGTTCCACGATGAATATTGGTCTCTAGGAACCTAAAAGTTTACTTTGAGAAGCCAGACTGGTAAGAAAAAAAAAAGGGCGGGGGAAGATATTTGCATTTGGTTGGAACAATTGAGAAGCATCTTGTAGTCCCCACTGCATTTGATAGACACCTAGAGCCAACTCTGCATTTTAGGCATCTCTACATTTTCAAATGCACCTGGTATTTAATGTTATGTGTTGGAGCAATTTGCCAACGCCGGCTCCTTGTAGTTAAAATACACTAATATCATACATGAAAAGAGACATGTTTCACAGCATCCATATCTGCTATTCATGACAGTGACAGAGCTTAGAACGCGGGACTCCCATCTTGCCAAATAGCTTCCTTTTCTGCACCTGAATCTCAGCAGAGAAGGGAGTCTACCTCTTTCATGCAGGTTTATCGCAGCTCCTCGATTACAATGAGCCTCAGTTACAGGGTGTTCTGAGTCATTAACATTCTGTACACAGTCAAACTTCCCGTCCCCCAAGGAAGAGTTATGCCCAGGCCTCCTACAGCCCAATTGTTCATTTAAAGAGAGAACTTGTATTCAGGAGCTTGCAAGAACCCTCCGAATATTCCTCAGGTGTTTGTAGGAGTCATTCCTACAGGTCCTGGTCCCTGTGCTGGTTGGGAGCATCCTTTCCCAGTCACTGCTTGGACTGGGTAGCATCGGTCGGCTGCAGGGACAAGCTGATTACTAAAAATAACCCTTTGCAATAAGGCCAAGGCAAACAGCATGCATTTCCTCGGACTTTTTGCCCAATCAAAATCCTATAGTAAATCCATCCTCCTCTCTCCCCGGCGCTCCTGACTGCATCTATGGAATTGAAGATGTTGCAAGTTGGGAGAAAGGTGCAAAGGAACAGGATTCTTGTAAAGCGCGACACAGAAAGCTAGAAATAAATGTTGCCTATTGTTTGAAGTCATTCTAAGCACTCCGGCAGAGCCCTGGCAGGAGATCAGCAGCATACATAAGTAGTAATAAAAGTAAACAGTGCGCTTTTAAACTTGCAGTCTTGCCCGCGTTCATAGTGCCCCCGTTTTAAGAGGGATGAGGGCGGCGGGGAAGATACTGGGGCTCCAGGAATCCATGTCGGCGAGTAGCTGCTTCTCAATCTCCTTTCACGGGGTCAAATATAAGAACCATTACAAAGTTACATCTAACTACGCAGAGTTTGAAAATCCAACCTCTTTCAGTCAAACCCAAAGAGATTTTCCAGCCTCTCTGTGAGGCTCCCCTGTCCTGTCACCGACTTCAAAGACCCGTTCATTTACAAAACACAATGCTAGCCCACTACAGATTAATGCAAATTCAATTAATGCAAATTTAAGTGGTATTTAAAGGTTGTCTCTTTGTCTGAGAGGAGGATGAAATGCTCCTTTTGGAAAGAAGTAATTTCCTAGGCAAGCCGTCAGCGCTGTTTTCCTGCTTACCTTGGGGGAAAACGCAGGGCTCCTTTCTCCCCAGACTTTTCTGAGAGCTAGAAAGAGGTCCTGTTACTTCCAAATGCTTTTGTTCTTCTGTCCCTCTGTCACATGGCTTGCCTTTTATATTTGCAACACACAAAAGTTAGGACTGTTGTTTAAGCGACACAGGGAGAGAGAGAGAGAGAGGCAGAGAGAGAGGGAGAGAGAGAGAGAGAGAGAATGTCAAATGGAAAAGTGCCATTGCAGTCATATATCAATCAGGCGTGCGGCCGCGGCAGCGCACTAGCAAATGGGAATGCCACGGAAATGTGAGGCGCCCGGTATCGGGGACTCGCAGCCTCTGCCCACCGCTAGGCTCCCTTCCACGGAGCATCTTACGATGCGAACGGCATAGGAGTAGGAAGGGCGAGGAAGTCCCCCACCCCCTTTCTTCGTCTCCTCCTCCTCCTTCTTTTGTGGTGTTATGGAAATAATAAGGGGCTAAATAATATTCGGGACTGAATTCTTTGGCAAGCATGTGGCTGCCCTCAAGAGGTGCCGTCCTCACGAAAGACACGGAAATACAGAGTGGCATTCTGCTTAATGATTCAGCAGCTGACCGGGATGAAGTTGAAATTCTCAGCAAGAGAGAAGAAACATGGGAATCAGAACTCTTTCTCGGGCGATGCTGTGGAAGCAAGTGCAAAACTCTGCCCTGTTTTATTACGGTGTGGGTGGGTGGTGAGTGTTCTTTTCTGAGTTGTTCATCCAGTAAATGATTTTTAGCAGCAGATCCATGATTAAATCCACGACAGTACTGAAATCAGCGCCTTCTTCGACATCATTTAGAATAAAACACTAGATCTGATTTAGACACAATGACAAAGTGGGAGTCCTTGACTCCTCGAGTTATGTGAGTGTGAGAATAACAGGTAAAGCCAACCCACGGCACCACAACTAGTAGAAAAGTGACAAAGGTAACTACGTGTGTGGGCTAAATGCCTGCTAGCTGGATAGTACTGTTATGAGCTGTAGGAATACAAAGGGAAATATTTCTTAACTCTTGCCCTTAAAAGCTGAAAACGAAGACAGAAAACCATCAGCAACTTTTGTGGAAAACACAATGAACCACTGAACCATTTATAATTTGTTTTATGTCAGATGAACCCAGCTCCAGAATATTTTTTTTAATGAACACTGATGAAGAGTTAAGCTGAGAATATAAGAAAGTGATAAATATGTCATAAAACTTAATTATTGATGCTGAAACTGTCAGGTTCAGCTAGATCATGTCATTTATTATTCATTCATAAATTGGTAAAATCACATTATTACTTTTCCACGGAACTTTTACTCCAGTCACTGGTGTTTACAGGAGGTGTCTTCAATTTTTCAGTTTAATCTCCACCCTTTAGTAAGAAGCCCCTTTTCTTTTGCTTTACCAGGAAAACCCTGTCTACCTGGGACCAGCCAGTCACAAAACAGAATCCACCTACAAGGATAAAGGATAAATGACAAGTTCAAGGCCTTGAAAGAGAACCTGGCACTTGGCCAATGATGATATTGGCCGAAATGTCTTAAAAGCAGAAGATCAAAAAGCAAATGGAAATTGGAGCTTAAAAATGGAAATAATCTGAAAGGGGAAATGACTTGTAGCTGAGTAAGAGCCATGGAAATAGTCATGAACACATTTTCTGGCTCAATTTTGTGGGTCAGATCGAGAGGGTGGATAAATCCTTTGGCCACCAACATTTTCAAATATCAGAGCTTGACGTCCATCAACATTTTCATTTCTCCTGATAATTTGTGTTTTTCTCTCAACATATGTTCACCACTCCACTCTGCTATCTTTTGCCTTTGGGTTCTCAGAACCACTCTATCTGCTCTGAAGTAACATGAAAAGGTGTGGTTCTTCCTGGTTGGAATTTTCCAGCCTCCTACAAGCTGCCCTTCTGCAAGGCACCACAGAAAGTGTAAAAATTGCAAACACATTGATTGCTTGGCCACAGAAGACAGGCTCTCTCCCAGATGGAGCCCCACTGCTCCCTCCAGCCGTTATTCTGTCAGGGGTGGTGAAGAATACCATCTGCTGCCCCTTTCAAGAGGGAGGCTTGCCTCCGCCTCTTGGGCTCCAGAGGACCTGTTTCTGAGCCTATCAATGGGTATCTGGCACCAGCAACTCTTTTCATCACATCACCATGCTTTTCGGAAAGGTCACTGTGCCACATGTGGTTACTTTACCAGCCATCATTAACGCTCCCGAGAAAGAAGGACTCTCTTTACATTTCTATCTATGCCAAAGGGGATGAAAATACTCCCGCTGCTATTTCATATGCACTCAGGATGGGAAGAGTTTGGGGAAGAAGATGTCTATCAGCTGGATGGGAAATTCTTCAAGGGTCCCTCCTGAGCCTTTTATTTCTGGTTCTGTTTTTAGGTTGCCTCTCTCTTTCTCGGTAGCTCTAGTGGATATTTACAGGGATTGCCCAGCATCCAAATACCCACGAAGGGATGGGGAATCCCAAGGCAGGTGGGAGGCAGGATCTGAAGGGAGCAGGTGTTTCCTCTCCCCTCCTCAGAGCAGCTGGAGAGCCAGGCGTGCCCAAGCCTGGCTCACCAGATGTGCCACTCAGGAGGAGTGGCCAAGACCTGCAGATATTCAGAGGTTATTCCCTATGGGCACACTGGAATCGAGAGCCCAGAGGCTACAGCAGCCAATGTCAAGTGCAAGAGAGCCCAGCCATGCGACAAAGGGTGTTCCAGGGACACAGGGTCCACCCATGATGGCATTTGGAGCATTCTGGTCTTTTGGGCTGCATCCGTGTTTGTCACCATTTTATGAGCCTGGATCTCCAGCTTTCCTGGTGACTCTGTGAAGTGCCCCCCATCACCACACCCACAAATCCTGCCAATAAATTCCTTTCTGCTTTAATTAGCTAGAGACAGTTTTTGAGGTTGGCAACCAGGAGTCCTGACCTGAACACTGCATTTTCCAAATTTAGGAAAATTAACATCATTAACATACAAATGGAAATGTATCCTCTCCTTCTTTCTAGCTACTTTTCCAAACAAACAAATGGTTTCAGATTCATTGTCAGTCTGCTATATTCTCTGCTACAACATTTTGAAAGTAGAAAATTTCTAGGTGGATACATAACAAGATACATATATATAATATGTACTTATCAAGACACCCACCAAAAGCCAATAACATTTGGTATCATATCTACATGGATACAGATAGGGGTGTGGCGGGGATGTGTGTGTGTGTGTGTGTGTGTGTGTGTGTGTGTGCGCGTGTGTGTGTGTGTGTGTGTAAAATCCCAACACACCAGCACAGTCTGCTAGGCATGATTTACAATTATCTGTGAGAATACTAGTCTTTACCATGCTCATGAATATAATAGCATTCATCCAAACACAGCTATTAATAATAATAGCAACTATTTAATGGGTGTTTACTCTCTACTGGGCTTTGTGACAAATATCTATATGCATTATCTCTTTTAGAGAGATACACAGTAATCCTATAAGGTAGATACTATTATTCTTTATTTTGTAAGTGGAGAAACTGAAGCTCTGAGTGGACAGGTGATTTCCCTGAGGTTGACCAAGCAAGCAAATAGCAGATATGAGCCCTGGCTTTGCTGTCTTTAAAAGGCCAGGACTTAACCACCATGCCATGCTGCCCCTATTCAACAGAAATTCACTGAACTGTGCTTTTACAGTAATGCTCTATTATTTGTGGGAGATGCAACTAAAAGTAGGACATAGATCCAGTTCTTAAGGTGTTTTTGATAGCGTAAGGAAGAAAGAAACTTTCACTTATGAAGACACTGTAGGGTATAACGTGATCAGGACGGTTCATCCAAGACAACACCACTGGATCTTGGCTTTGAAGCCACAGAGTGGGAACCAGAGGATGAAGATGAGTTTGTGGAGTGACACACAGTCAGACTTTTGGCTGGGCCTAAACCTGTACTGTGGTGAGCCAGGAGGATGTGGGGAGCAGAGGAGGAGGCAGGCTAGGAGCTGGGGCCAGATGAGGTTAAAAGAGAGAGAATAGAATGGGAAGGCAGTCTGAGACAAAGGAGAGGTTTTGTAAGTGGAAGAAAGAAGGCTGGGTCAGAGGAGCAAAGATAAGTAGCATGGCAGGGATGCCAACAGGTACTTTCATTCATTCACACATTCATTCAACAAATATTCCTTCAGTGTTTCGTACCTGCCAGATGTCATTCTTATTGGGGTCCAGCATTGGATAAGACAGACAAAGTATCTTTGGTAATGGTGGAGGAGTATGTCAGTAAGGACACTTTCAAGGCAAATAACGAAAAACTTGAATATCAATGGCTTAAAACATAGGGAAATTTATGGCGCTCAATCAGGAAGTGATAGTTTTAGGGTTGGTACAGTAGCCATGGTATCATCGAAAACTCAAGCTCCTCCCACTCCCATCTTGCTCAACATTGCTGGCTTCTGTTCTCTAGCAGATCAATTCATGGACGCAAGACGGCTGGTGGAACTCTAGAAATCACATTGAAATTCAGGAGTCAAGAGAGGAGAGAAGAGCTTGCTTTTTGTCTGCTTCTTCAATCAGGAGGAAAGTCTTTCCAGAAACCCCAAGGGCTTCCCCTTGCATCCCATCGACCAGAACCTGGCCACATTCCCACTCCAACAGTAATCTCTGCAAAGGGAAGCACAATTGCCATGACCAGTCGGACCCAATCATGATCCACACCCTGGAGCTGGGTGCATGGCAGACCTTAGTGATAGACCATAGATTCTTAGTAGACCATAGATTCTTAGTGATGAAAGAGGATGCATAGTAGGAGTAGATAACCAGCAGTATCTGCCACAGTGAGAGAGACAGTATAAACACCAGGTGACTTCAGAGTGTGACAAATGCTATGAGGAAAATGAAATAGCAAAAATGAGCTAGAGAGTAACTGAAGCAGTGCAGGAAGAGGGGTGAGTTAATAGCGCGACCAGAGTTGGTTTCTCTGTGGACATGACATTTGAAAGTAAATGCCAAGAGCAAAGTTGGCAAGCAGAAACACCAAGGTGGCTGGAACAGAGTGAGATGGGCAAGTGGTAGGAGATGTGGTCAGAGATGAAAGCAAGGGCCATATATATTATGTAAAGCTTGATTGTAGGGAGTTTGGGCTTTTGTTCCTGGTT